GGCCTCACTTGCCTCAATTAAGCTCAGTGTTCATGATTCATCAATAAGAAAGAGACTGGGCAAAAATGGCATCCATGGGAGAGTTCCAAGGCAAAAGCCACTGCTTACCAAAAAGAACACAAAGGCTCGTCTCTCATTTGCCAAAAAATATCTTGATTATCCCCAAGACTTTTGGGCAAATATTCTGTGGACTGATGAGACAAAAGTTGAACTTTTTGGAAGGTGTGTGTCCCATTACATCTGGCATAATACCAACACAGCATTTCATAAAAAGAACATCATACCAACAGTCAAAATTGGTGGTGGTAGTGTGATGATCTGGGGCTGCTTTGGAGCTTCAGGACCTGGACAACTTGCCATAATTGACGGAACCATGAATTCTGCACTCTATCAGAAAATCCTGAAGGAGAATGTCCGGCCATCAGTTTGTGACCTCAAGCTCAAGAGCACTTGGGTTATGTAGCAGGACAATGATCCCAAACACACCAGCAAGTCCACCTCTGAATGGCTCAAGAAAAACTCAATTAAGGTTTTGGAGTGGCCAAATCAAAGTCCGGACTTAAATCCGATTGAGATGCTTAAACAGTCCATTCATGCTCGAAAACCCTCCAATGTGGCTGAATGAAAACAATTCTGCAAAGAAGAGTGGGCCAAAATTCCTCCACAGTGATGTGAAAGACTCATTGCCAGTTATCGCAAACACTTGATTGCAGTTGTTGCTGCAAAGGGTAGCACAACCAGTTATTAGATTTAGGGGGGCAATTACTTTTTCACATAGGGCCAGGCAGGTTTGGACCGCTTTTTTCCCTTAATAAAATAAATCATCATTTAAAAACTGCATTTTGTATTTACTTGCATTATCTTTGTGTAATATTAAAATTTGTTTGATGATCTGAATCTTTTAAGTGTGACAAATATGCAAAAAATAAGGAAGGAAGGGGGCCAACACTTTTTCACACCACTATATATATTGATCCAATGATAGTTGGATAAAGAGAATAATAGACAGACAGATAGAATGATAGATAGAATTATACGTGATAGAACAATGGAGTGATAAATGGATACACAACAATAGATGGATAGATAGAGCAATATACAATGATAGAATAATACATAGAATGATAGATAGAACGATAGCACTCCGACCCTCGATGGCTGCTCTATATACTTCTGTACATGTAAATTCACACTAGTAGTCATTATGCCACAAACGCTGTCAACAGAGCTTAAATTGTATTGAACCGGATCATTCTTGTGAATTCTGTGTTAGCTCCTCGATGACTAGGCAGGATCTGCAGTCTTTTCTTATCTCTTCAGAAGCGTCACGCCTTCTGCCAAAGAGTCTGATCTTGTTTCTCTTGCTCTTGTTTTCTCTAGATATTCATCATTCTCCACCCATTCAATCATGCAAATTGCACCAGTGAGCGGAAACTCAGATGGGACAAAGTAAACAGCATGTCTGTGCTTTCTTCACTTTCATCAATCTGCCCTCCTGCGTCTCCTCCAGCTTTACAGTGTCAGTCGTGACCCTCTCGTCCAGTGAGAACTCAAACCTAAAGGACTCAAAGCAACAAACAGATGGCAGCAGCAGCAGCAACAGTCCCGAATGGGAGCACAAGTATAACTGTTAATTTGAGTTGTTTGGTCACTTTTTATTTTGCCATTTTCTTTTGTAACTGTATATAAATCAATTTAAGATCTTATAGTTTTGTACATGTAATTTTTATGGTGTTTGATTTTTTTTAAATAAAATAAAAGACTGGCTCCATTCTAATGGGTTTGTTTTAGCGTGTGACGTTACTTTTTGGAATTTCTTGTGAATTGATTTACACTCCTGACAGGTAGTTTATTTTCAATTTATAAACAAAACAGTTGCAGACAGTACAACTGTCACTATACATACAATAACTATTTTCAGATGGGCTAAATTTGTCAAAGCTGTATCTTATTTCAAGAAAGTTATTCGTCAGCATTCCCATTCATAATAGTAAGAGTTCTAGCATCCCCCACCAGAGATACATGATCTGTTTGCTACCATGCTTCTAGACACTCAGTTTGAGACCCAATTATCAGCTGAGCCATAAATGTCATGAGACTAATAACAAATTATATTGACAACAAAATATCCATTAAAATATCCATTACATGTATTATTAATATATATTTAAAAAAGATTGTTTGTTTATAAAAATATATTTTATTACATTAAAATATTATTAAATAAAAATTACATTTTTACACACATGTAGCATACATATATGAAGAATACATAAAATTATATATTATACATTTCATATTATGATATATAGTATTATATTATAGAATGAACAAATTAAAATAGAGAATAAAACATATTATAATTTATTATAATACGTAAAGCCACACATTTTTTAAATTATATATTTAAAAATAAATATTGCATTATATTACACTATTGTTAGATAAAAAATAAAACATTTGTAAATATTTACAAATTGTAAAAGAAATAATATATTATATTTAAAATTATGTATTTCTTATATATTATGCAATATTATATAATGTTTACTATAGTGTTTAATTTGAATGCACATATATGTGCATGTTATTATATGTATGTTACTACATTTATTTACACACATATATACACTGAACACTGCCCTTCTGTTAGACATGAGAGCTGAATGATTGTATCTACATTATGCCATAGTTAATGTTTTATCTCTGATGCAAGTGGTGGCTAATGGCAATCTTTTTTTTTTCTCAATACATCTAGAGGGATAAATGGGAAAAGTGAGAGACCATCTTGCTACAGTAAAGGCTGCCTTGGTTGTATAATATCTTGGGTTCTGGGACAACCACCATCAACAGGGGAGCTGCATTCATTACATCCAATTTCCCTTAACTCGGACATAGACATTTTAGTCTTAAAAGTCAATTCTTTCTTCCGACAAAACTTGCACCTCAGAGTTCAGACTTATCTTTTTTAGTCTACCTGACATAAATTGTCCATTAGCGACTGAGTGGCTGAATATGGTCAACCTTATGCACCCCTGTCTCCGTGCGTCTGGAAATCTCACTCCATTTGTATTTCTCGGCACAGAGTCTAGAGACGTGTAATGTCACAACCTACTCAAAGGTGTTTCTGCAAAACATCCTCACACTCCTACGCCGCACAATCACTCAGGGGAATCCTCACTTTGTCAAACCATATGGCCAATTTCCAGGACAGTGTTTCCAGACGCAGTCATGGATTAAACTCCACAGCCGAAGAATATTCTACTGTGAAAATCTGTATTAGTCAACAACTGCATCTAATCTGTGTCCAGGACACATTACGCAGAGGAATTATTATTTGTTCCTTACAGAAAATGACCATGATGAACTGTTTGTTTATTTCATAGCGGTCAAGTCAATGGCTCTGTTCCAAATCCTACTGAGATGCCTTGCTGTCTGCCAGTACATACTGAAGGCTGCTGCATAAACCTTTGTGTTTCAGACAGTTAGCACTCCTCTTCAGTTAGCATCCTGGCATACATCTCTTATTATTTCTGCCATCAGTCATCATAATTAGATTTTTTTTTTTATTGACACTTTGCATTATTAGAAGAAATACAAGTATCTAACTGATTTGCTGGATACAGGCCTTTGAATTTTCATGAACGAAGAGACCTTAAGGCATTGCCAGAATGAACTGTCATATGTTCAGTGAAAACAAATCCAAAATAGCGTATGTGTGCCATATTTGTGTTTGTTATGTATTGTTATGCTTATTAGAGCATTGTGCTCTGCTTTGTGACTGACGGGCTGATCATTAGCTACATGCTAACGCCACTGTCGGTTACAATCAAGTCTCCCATGTGGAGTTTCTGCATGTAAGTGTTTTCTCAGTTGCTTTCTATGAGGTTTCATCTAGGTTAGGATTCTGAGAAAATGGCTCTCTTTTTGGGGAAAAAAAGAAAAAAGAAGTGTGCTTAGTAGTGAACTTCAAATCTTAAAAATATATTTCTTAAAACACTGACGTACACAGTATTTTTAAAGAAGTACACTTATTTTGATGTGTTGACTAACACACTAAAGCACATTTCAGTAGAATTGGCAATCAAGTTTAAATGCATGACAGTTTCAACAGAAATTAGATTAAATGATATTTTAGTTTATTATAAATGCCTGTCAGCGCATTCATCAGTACATTTTAACCATATTTCAAGTGCAATAGAATTATGAAATTACATATATTACATATAAAGTCCTCCCTAAAACAGGCAACGTGTACCACAAGATACATAATCTTTAGTCTCTTGTAGGAGGCACGAGGAATAATTTTTCATCCAATAGTGTTATCATTATCATAGTTGAGGTTGTTTGGAGTATAGGGCTGGACATTCAGAAAATGTAGAAAGTAGGCATACATTAATTTTACTTTTTTCAGCCAAAAAATAAAAATACAAATAAAAAATGCAATACAACTATCAGTATTAATTGTGAACATTGTCATGAGATGTTGAAAAATAAAATTAAGTCATATGTTGTTCGTGTTGTTTTTATCGCATTTTGAAATATGCGTATCCCCTGAGATACATTGCCTGATTAGCATATAAAATATATATATACATAATATAATATCAGAGAACTGGGGTGGGGTGGATGGGGGTTATAAATTGCATCAAGGAGAGCAGATCCCCCTCAGAAGAAATCACATTCCAGGTCCAGGGGCCCTTAGGGAAGAGCCTCATATGCCTTCCTGGATTCTAGGCCCCCTGTACACAGTCCCCTTTCTATTTATTTTGAGTTTAAGAAAATTGTGCAAATGTTAATATTTGCATGTAAAATGGATAATATTACATTTAGTTGACTACATCTTTGGATTTTTAACTAGATTTTTCTCTTGCAGGGTTTCACAGAGCTCGTTTTCTGGTAGAACTGGGGTGTCCAACCCTGCTCCTAGAGGGCCACCATCCTGCAGTGTTTAGCTCCAACCCTGATCAAACACATCTGAAAAATCTGACAAAATTCTCAAGGATTACACAAAAGAATTATATTTTGCTACATAAATTACATTATATGATTGTTTAGGGATGCCACTAAACCGTGAAGGACAGTGGACCTCAAGGTTTGGAATTGCCCTCCCCTGAGGATAAAGATGAGACAGTTAAAAAAAATAAAAATACAAAACATGTCTATGCCTCAATTTTAGTATACTTAGACATGTCATACATGCAGCATATTTTGAATATTCCATATTTGTTTGCATCAAATAAATCATATAATTATTAATGACTTGGGCTGTTTTTAATACCCTAAAAGGGCAACGTGTCCTCGGAGATACAACTCATAAAATCCAAAATCTATCAAACATTACAAAAATAATTCTGAATATGTTTTACTTAAGTTGCGATGACAAAAAAAGTGACATGAAATTATTTTTTTGCTGATCATTTTCCACTCTTGCCTGTTTTAGGGTTAAGTGGGTCAAAACAAAACCTTGAAAGTTCATGTTACTGCATTTGATATTAATTTTAAATTATAATACAATTTAATTTAGTAAACAAATCACATTCATTTGGGTATCTAAAATCAGTTCACACTTATGAATTTGTTTCCCCAATTATTATTTCCGTAATAAGCATGCTAAAGTGTAATTATTTTTTCACAAGGGTCTGTGAAGGCAAAATCAGCAAGGCAGCTCACTATATTAAAATAATAAAATAAAATAACCCAATGTGTTTTGTAAAATTCCATCTACATACGACGCGACCTACCATCTCTTGACATACATAATAATTACATAATTAGATTCCCAAAATGTTATACTTGTAATTAGATTATAGTACATATTAAAATTATCATAATAATATACAGTTACTTTTTTATGGATTAGATGATTACATACTTAGACCATGTCATTGCTGTTTTGGTATTTATTCATGTTTGTTCATGTGATGCAGGGGTTCCCCAAATTTTTGTCAGTCAAACCCTTTTGATCTAAATGTTTTACTTGAAGTCCTTCTGACACTTAAAGTTAATATTTAAATGATTTAACGACACATTTATGTGTATATAGTTATCTAGTGTTGGTTAATGGTCACTGTAACCCGGTTCTATGTTAGATCAATACTATTTTGCCTCCGGGTCATCCTGTGGACCCATCTTCACAAGAGGGACGTGGGCGATAGGAGGGGATGCGTCCGGGCCGACCTCCCAGCCCAGCAGATAATTTCGATATGGTACTGTATGAGGTCCTTGCGACCGTGCAGGGGTGAAAACACATCTGCAAAATCTGCCTGCAACTTGGCTACATCAGTGAGCTGCAGCAGCGAGAGGTGATCTCCCCCAGGACCAGAGCAAGCAGATTGGCTTTGAGAGCTGCTACTGGTCCGAGAACCTCCTCTGCCGAAACGGCCACTGCTAACTCAACCAAGGTCTGCTCCTGCCAGTGTTTCAACAGGTTGAGATGATACATTTGATGTGAATCATGCCTTTCTGTTCGTTTAACCTCATTATCGAGATCCCCTACTCGCCGTGTAACCACAAAAGGTCCTTGCCACTTTGCGAGTAATTTGGAGCTAGATGTTGGAAGTAACACAAGTACTTTATGTCCCGGTGTAAATTGACGTTCTCGCATACCCCTGT